GAAATACTTAAACGGTTCATACGGTTGTTCTTGTGATGTGTGGTTTGTAGAAAATCGACTTTTGAATGCTTTTTTCTGATGTATATTTCTTTCTTTGTTTTAATGAGCTCATGGTGTCAGGGCTGCACCCTGTAAATAATCACTTTTGCTTGGTTCCAAGACCGACAAACCGATATTGACTATGTTCACACCGACTGATCATTTTTTTAAACTACATTGGTATGCGTTTTAAACTTAAGGCCTACTCATTCCGCAGGAATCTGAGCCTAGCTAACGGATGTGAAATCTGAAATCTCCTGCACCATTCAATTTGTTTCGAATAAACCATCTGTGTTTCCAACCCGAAATCAGTATTTACGAGCAGACAATGGATAGACGATATTTGGCTATGCACGCAACTCGTGAAAGTTTGATACTACTGGCGTGATATCAGAGTGATGTACAAAGCAACTCAGCTCTCACATAGCCATATCATGACACATACACCAGCATATGCGATTAACCAATCTCTGGTTCCCTCTGTACTAGCAAAGGAAAATCTCTCAAGGACGCACTTCAAGGTCAATTCGGATTTTTTCCTTTGGATGAGGAAATTCAGAAATCTATTTTAAGGTAGTATCATTTTTATGGATCATATACTACTATCAAATATGCATTTTGACTTTTTAGGAGCGGAGAATACCAAAACATTTTGGAAAGTGTTTGCCACTTCCTAATTCTGTTACCGGTCAACCAGCTCTTTGTTTTTAATTTATCGGTCGGAGTTTTGTTCATTTCTACTAAGGCACAAAGAATAACTAGTGCAAGCAATAACGGTATTGACCAAAACAATTTAGGCTACTTCATCATCATCATCGTACAGCGAGATACGTGTAGCGAAATTCACTGATCGCTGCAGAGTTCACAATGTACACAAATCAAGTGATAAAGTACAAGATGGCGAACGACGGGGCTTAATTAGAGGGAGGGAAAAAAGTGAACAAGTCAACAAGAGGAGTACATAGTCTAAGCGTGCATACATACCTTTTCAAGCATTCAGACATGATAAGAAATGACAACAAGAACGCCACTGCTCCTAGTTAATCGCCATTTCCTTCAGTATCTCCAACCGGCCAGTTGCAGAGTCTTTTGGACCCAAACCTGGAGAAAGGGAGACATCGATTCTATCTAATCGCTCTGTATATTTCTTCATGCTTCAGTTCAACGTCATCTGTTGACATTCACACGGTTTATTTCAACCGGGAGATGCAAATGAGAATAAGGAGTGGTGCGGTAGACAATGACTAAGATGCGCAACACGTGTCCTAACTAGTGAATCCGACTAATGGGAATTCGATGAGACAACGAATTCACCATCGAATCATTACCAAGTACGCGACGCGTTACCTCAGAATTGCTTCCAGGCTCGTTCCATCCAACCTTCGCCAAACTAGTAAACATCCGCAGTCGAAGACTTCTGGACGATGAATATCTTCCACTCGCCAATTTAGGATTTCGCAACTATAAAGCAGAACTGACCGCACACTGGCGGAGTATACCCTTCAGTTTCAACGAAATATTACGTCTGCATCAGAGGTGTTTCAGTCCTGCGTAAGCTGCTTGAGTCTTGGAAATGCGGACGGTTACTTGCTTGATTAGGCTACTTAATCCGAATTGATATTGGGCATCGATTTCGCGTGGTGTCACTTAGCTCTAAACGCATCTTTCTATAATCGTGTCGAATGAGGAAACATAGGATCTGAAATAAGTTATTTAAACAAGGTGGTGGCGCTGGATAAGTGAGTTACGTGATTTGTGTTTGGTCGAGAGATTGGAGTCAATCTGGATGACAAATTTTGCTATGGAGATTAAGTGGTTCAAACAGTTTGTTAAATTTGCTTACTTTATTCAAAATGGATGGTCAATATCAATGCTTCCCACATCAACGTCTTTCTTTTATTGATGAAAGGAATACAGGTTAATGGATGTTTTACAAATTCAGGTTACGTTTTGTCGCATTATCTCATTCAGATAACTGCATGTTATCAAGCATACAACATTATTTGTATAATAGTTGACCAAACCCCAGCACAGCCTCGTAAGCACTGCGTTTTCATTAAAACTTTCCAACCTGTTGATCCCCTCCAGATGACTCCAGCCTAGTTTCTAAAGTGTACAGTCCCAGGAATCAATTTAAAACATAGATAAATATGCGATTTGATGCAATTCAAGCCGTTCTCGGAACAAACTCACACAGCGGCCAGATAGTTCACGGGCCAAATCTCATATATCTCGCGTACCAAATGATCTTGAGGAATTGTATAGATAATTTGATAATTTGAAGCATTGGGTCCCATTTATTCATTTCACCAATATAGAAAGAAGACAAATACCGCGAGATGAGCTAACATTTCGTTTAATCCTCTCAATCGCTTGCTTAAAACAAACGAGCATACATATAGCACATACAGTTATTTAGTTATGGTGAATGAACGTATACAAGTATAAAGATTCTGTTTCGCAGTCAACTTGGCGGATTCCATGCTAAAGCGATTGCCTCCAGTACTCAAAAATAAAGAAGAGTAAATGGAACATGGACGAGATGAAATTGCCAAACCTGTATGAAATATGAGTCATTTTAATAAATAAATTCTAGTTACGTTTTCCACTGTGAATTTGTACATTTCAGCGGCATTGGGCTAATAGAAGCACTGACATAAGTCGGTATTATATCAGATATGCTGCCTCTGATGTGCGGCAATATCATGTTCGATCCCGTGAATGAGGCTGGAAAAACGAAGCATTGAGAGGAACAAATGTGATGAAAATCAGGATGTTGCACGAGTTTTGTCAGTACCTTTATACTCAATAGGAATGGAGGTGAGAGGTTCACCAAAAGTTCACAAACTTGGGACTCCACTCAGATAAATTTCTCGCATGCGAAACTCGCTTTCTCACAAGTATGCCCAATGGCTGGTCGAAATCCTTGATCCCATTCGCAAGTCTCTTGTGCTTCATTGTTTGAAAGATTTTTTTGAATTCTCTAATATTTTAGATAATGTTATAATATCCCAACAGAGATGTGGATTCACTTTTCGCTAATTTACCGCTTTATGAAACAATTGATTTTTTGTGTAACTATAATTCTTCAAACAAGTTTCTACTTAATATTCCTCTTAAATATTTAAGAGAACTTATTCTTATGTGTACCGAGAAAATTCTTTTTGAGTTTTAAAGGACCACATACAAACAGACAGATTGATGGTGCGGTAATAGGCAGTCCATTGGGTCCCATTCTAGCGGATGTGTTGCTGGGAACGATTGGGAAAAAACCAAGTTCGCATTTAACTCACAGCTACTTTCTCAGTAGTGGTGTGGGATAATTGATATTTATTGATTTGAACTGACTATCCTTCGGACTTCACGGACTTCAAGCACAATCCTCAGTTCATCGATTCAACCATACAATCGGAAGCACTAGACTCCAGGTTCGATCTCTCATTAGAGCTCATCAGTAGTGCATATCCACCATCCCGCCCGGTATTTGAACCCCAGCCCCATCGTATGGAAGGTGTGTGTGTTACCACTGTGCCAACTAGCTCATACCATGGCTGAACCCAATTGCCAATTCATGTTTGTTCAGGTGTCGTCTTTTAGTGACAGTCAGTTCATTTGGCCCCGACAGCAACGAAGGGAGACACAGATGACAATTTGTTAACTCTGAGTGTATGGTTGAATCGATGAACTGAGGATTGTGCGTGAAGTCCGAGGGATAGTCAGTTCAAATTAATAAAAAATTAAGGGATAATATTTCCAAGTACACCCTGTACAAACGTTGGGCAGACGATATTTTTATTGGTGCAGATTTCTGAAAATTTTAAAACACTCTTACAACAGTTTAACTGTGTCATTCTATCCACATCTGTCTGTATCTCATGAAGTAGAAACCAAAAACACTTTAGCGTCGCTTGACATAAACGTTACCAAGCGAATAAATCGGATATTAGAACGCTCATTTTAACGAAAAGCGACATGGAATGGCCAACATCTACAGTTTTCCAGCTTTTCCTCCATGGATTATAAACATGGGCTTGTGAGAACCCTATTTCATAGGGCTAGACACATTTGCTCTCTAGATACACAAAAGGATCAGAGTAGGATTTCCTGAGGAGAACACTGCTAAGCAATGGTTACCTAGACAGGGTTATATGCATTCACAGTAGGGCATTTCCAAAAGTTAACCTAATCCCAAACGTTAGTAAAAGAAGACCATCTACCTAAAACTTGCGTTCAAAGGTGACCACGTTTATAAGGATGTGCGCCAAAAGTTCAGTTCAGCTCAATAGACCGTACAGTCTCAGTTCCTCAATACAAACTCACTGCCTCTACTCATGCAGTTGATCTGGACAAACTTAAACATGACTGGCAAACCTATTCTGTCTCACACATTGCATACCAGTTCACCTGCAGTTGCGGGGACACATACATTGACCGAAAAACCGCCAGCTCTCGCAACGGATGGCCGAACATATTCCACACTGGTTGGCGAAATCGGTGACGCAATCGGTAACTGTTGGTCAAGCGATTACAAAAAATCCAGGGTCATCCGTTGCAAACTCAACAATCCCAAGTGCGAAATATATATATTTGTGTGTTTTAAGTTAACGGTTGAGAAGATTAAACGAAATGTTAACTCATCACGCGACATGTCTCCTTTCCATATGAATGAACCGACAATTCTGAGATCAAAGGGAATCCCACATCTGAGGTTTCGATTAAATCCGCATTCTTATTTTACTGAGAGACTTTCTATTTGACCAGAAGTATATAATACAACCTTTTTGGCGTGATCAAAAATCCCTGACAGCCCTGACATATGTTGCCAATCATTACAAAAGTAAACATGTACAGGTTTCTCTCTTTCAAACAATTGTATTTTCAAAGGAAAATAAACAATCAAATAGTTGTGGATACAAATAAATTCTAATTTGGCATTATCAATTTGACCATCCGTGACCCGTTTAGGGTAAATTTGTCAACATGGCACGAACCTCAGATTTCGCCTACAAAAAAAAACAAGAAGTACAAATTGGACTGTAACCGAGTCTGTTGGTCCACTGACCTCATTCACTCGAAATCCCTCGCCTTCGTATTCGATCACATACTTGCAGAATTGTCTTGCCTGATCAAATTCTTTCAGACTGCGATAGCACTTTGCCACATGCAGCATGTTATGAACGAGCATGCGCGGTTGAACTATTCAGAGGGGGTTAGGCACACATTTGACACGGTTCGATTGAAACAAATCGAGTTCCGGGGGGACTTACTTTCCTCCGCTTTCAACAGATGGTACAAAGCCTAAATTTATATGGGTCAATCAGCAAAAATCAATTATGAGAACAGGCTTACTTGTTCATAGGTCGCGGTTGTTTTGGTCTTACGAAACTCTACATCAGAAAAGTACCTACCGATAGAGAAGAAAATCATATATTCAAAGCAGATGTTACACAACAACAAACCATATTCCAAGAGCGCTCTCAGCATGTACCGCTTTAGGATCGAGCGATACGGCCTTCTACAAGACGAGCACATAAGCGTTCCGTTATTAGCCAAATTGAGCCCTACCTACCTTCCACAACGGTTCGAACTCAGCGGACTTTTTCACACGTTGTTGCATTCCATCTAAACCAGCAATCTCATCCATAGCAATCCCATACCACTAATGTGTAGGCGATAAACACCGTCAAGATAGTATGCTACTTACCGTTAAGCATTTGGGGTTTTCCGGATCCAGTTCAAAGCCCTTGCTTGCAAATTTTAACATTTCCGCAAAATCTTCCTTTAACTCTGCTTTGGACGGGCGATCTGACAGAGCGTAAACTAAAACAAATGCAGGACAAAATTGATTGAAAGATCACGAAGGCAAGAAAATGGTCATTCAGTACAGTGTTACACAAGTTTATTGTACCTTCATCGTAACAGCATCGAGCCAATCTCCAGTACAGTTCTGGGTGTGGATACGTGGCCAAATTTTCTGCAAGCAGCGCAAAACAACCTTTGAAATTGTCTCGTTTCTCGTATTGGTCTGCACGAGTGATGATATCTTCCATTGTTGTTGCAGTGGTTGTCTGCGGGAATCTGACGAGCAAATTGACAATGTCAATGTATTATCGATCAGTGCCGGTCATCACACAAACGAACAGGTCCAATTTATATCAAATATTATGAACTCGACTTGTATTCGTTTTCGGGGTGTGGCGAAACAGATTTGCGTGGCAAATCAAAAATAGATGAGGCTCCGGGATCCCCGTGGACTGGCACGTAAATCGCATGCTTACATTTAACAAATTCATCAATAAATGTATATGAGCATACATACATACATATATACATACATACATACATACATACATACATACATACATACATACATACATACATACATACATACATACATACATACATACATACATACATACATACATACATACATACATACATACATATATACATACATACGTAGTCGCATTAGGACATGCTTATATGCATGTGTTTACTGATGAACCGTTAAATGCCAAGCCTTAAATGATCGTCTGGACACTACTGAAATATTTGAAACTAAGAAAGATATGTGGTTGTGGTAAGGCATAGATAGACATAGTATGAAATGTGGTGACGAACAGAATTTCACGACTGATTATCTATCGCTCCCTACACGTCTCCGATGAGTTTGCACTGTCCGAATGTAAACCACATTGATGACAATCGAAATGTTTAGATGCCTGGTCTGAAATATAGATCTAATCCGATGGATTCTCCGGTACTATTCATCCAGACATGTTTCATTTAGCGAGGTGCACAGCATACGATTTGTTTAGTGAAACTCAGCCGGGCACACTTGTGATATCATCTGACATCTTTAAAGTTAATTGTGTGTATGTTGTTTCCGTGTTTGTCTAAGCCCATAGCAGAGCACTCATTTTATATTTTGGGATTGAAGAGTGCCATCGTAGATTTCTGACAATGATCGAGTCAGCAAATTCAAGTTCCAAGCTGTCTTATTGTTATTCAAAACCAAAGCTTCATGTTTTGTGTAGCCAACAAAACCCGGTAAATTGTCCCTTTGGATGCCTGTCAAAATGCAATGTATATATATATATATATGTCATGTATTCCAAAGAAAGAAATACCCGGTTTAATTCTTAGCAGGCTTATCCTCAAACGGCCTTTTACGGTTTGTTATGACTATAACTTTGGTTAGCAAGCAACTCACAACAGAGTCGAATCTGATTAACCAGGCGATGGAAAACCGAAAAAGTGCTGAGAGCGTGTGCAATATTGATTCAGGTGACAGTCANGACAGTCAAGGTCGCGTTTCGCGTTTCATTGTGCAGGAAAATGCCTGACAAAAGTCTCCCCAAGAAAGCAACATTTGCCATTTGGCTCGAGTCTTGGCACCGAAATATGTGCAAAACCAAATGCGTTGTTTCCGTTTATAGAGACCAAGAAAGCAGAGCAAACCCACAATGTGTGTCCGTATCAAGATTCGCATAATTGTGCCGCAAGGTCGCACGCAGGGAATTCGTCAGACAGGAAGGATTCATCAGATTAAAAAGGAGAGGGGTGAGTCCAGATTCGCTTCAACCTTGAAAATTAAAAACGTGAATCCACCAGGAGTGACCAAAAAACGGGTTTATGAATCGCTTCTCAGAATTCTGCCACCCGAATCTTGTCCGTCTTTATTC